CAAATGGCTGACATTATTAATAAAGCTCGGATCAGACAACGCTCTGTTGTCATCACCCTACTTGATCTTAAGAATGCCTTCGGCGAAATCCATCACAACCTCATTCAATCCGTACTTGACTACCACCATATCCCTGATCATATAAATTTCCAAACCTCGATAATTACCTCTGAATTCCGCACTCCTTTTATGACAGTTGGCCGTGGCGTATTGCAAGGAGATTGCCTCAGTCCTCTTCTTTTTAACATGTGCTTCAATACATTCATTCAGCATATCAAAGCTGAAAAGTACCGTCAATTTGGGTTTTCCTTCAAATTACTAAATCCCATCCATTGGTTCCAGTTTGCTGATGACGCGGCTGTAATTACTGGCCAAGAATCCGAAAACCAACATCTATTAAATCGATTTTCTATCTGGTGCCAATGGTCCGATATGATTATCCGAGTTGACAAATGCAGTACCTTTGGCATTAAAAAAGCGATCACAAAATCAGTTCAGTACTTGCCAAAACTCCTCATCAGCAATCAACTAATACCAAAAATCACCATTGGAGAATCATTTCAATATTTAGGACGTTACTTTGATTTCCACATGTCGAATGATAATCACAAAACTGAACTAACCACCCTACTTAACGAACTAATGTCTGATATTGACTCAAAGCCACTACACCCCAAAAATAAACTGCTCCTCTACAGTCGCTACGTCTTGTCCAAGTTAGCCTGGCACTTCACCGTCGCAACACTCTCTAAAACATGGGTTACTGAAAATATCGACTCTATTGCCAACAAATATATCCGCAGATGGCTTGAAGTACCAATATCAGGAACACTAAGTACTGTCTTTCTAACAAATAACAAATTTGGCCTGAGTATTTATCCTCCATCTGTAAAATTTATCCAGTGTCAAACAGTCCTCCGAAAAGCTTTAAAATCTTCTCCTAATGAATCAACTAACGACCTGTGGAGAGCAACCAGTAACCATACTAATATCCAATATGACGCTTATAACTCTACTAAGGAAGTTCTCAAAGATTTCCGTTCTGGACACGAAAACAAACTCCTAAACCAATTAACCAGTCAAGGATCCTTTTTCTGCAGCGTCACGAAGTTCGCTTTACCTCAGCTTAGCAAGGTGTGGTCCGTCGCCCAATCAAAGCTCCCGAAAAACATTTACAACTTTACCATTCGTTACATTAACAACTCTCTTCCGACGCGCAAAAACCTAAACAGATGGGCAATATCTTCAAATTCAGACTGTTCTTTTTGTCTTAGCCCTGAAACATTACTACACATAGTAGCTGGATGTCAATTTTATCTCGACCGATTTACGTGGAGACACAATTCAGTCCTGAACTTTCTTGCTCATCAGTTACAAACTGTTGACGGTTCTACTCTCTACGCTGATCTAAATGGATTCAAAAGCCCTTCGATACTTACTGGTGATACGTATCGCCCAGATTTGTTATTATCGTGCTCAAATGGTTCCTTATATGTGGTTGAACTCACCACTGGTTATGAGACAAACCTCAAAAACAACGTAAAACGGAAGAAGGATAAATATAGAGAATTATTGAGACAGCTAGGTAAAAATTTTAACCAAGTTAAATTTATAAATCTCTCCATCAGCTCTTTAGGTATTTTTGCAGAAGAATGTTATACATTTTTAGACATGTTGGATAGTATTGGTCTTGACAAAAACCACCAAATGTACTGCGTTAGGAAAATGATGACTATTGCTATTAGAACTACATATTACATTTTTTGTTGCCGAAATAAGGAATGGGAAAATCCGGATTTACTAACAATTTGACTTATCTCATTGTATATATATATATTGCATGCACTTTGTTCTGTTATTTTAGTTTAGTATAATTGTGATTCAAATAGCCAACCGTAAGTTACCTTTATGAGAGAGATTTACGATTGTATATGTATGTAAAGAAAAACATTTAATAAAGTTTCCATTATTATTATTATTGTTATTATTATTATTATTATTATTTCAATGGGCCAATATGATAATACGTGTTGACAAGTGCTCTTCGTTTGGAATTAAAAAACGCTCATCTAAGTCTATCCAGTACCAACCTAAGCTGTTCGTTAATAACCAACTTATACCCCGTATCGAACTCGGAGAATCTTTCCGCTATCTTGGTCGTTGTTTCGATTTCAACATGTCCGATGAAACACACAAATCCGAATTGTGTGATCTGTTTAATTTAATGATATTATATCGAAAATTGATAAATTACTTTTACACCCTCGAAACAAAATTCTTCTATATAGTCGCTACTTACTCTCAAAAATCTCATGGAACTTAACAATAACCGATATATCTAAAACCTGGATTTGCGAAACTTTAGATAACGTTGCTACTAAATATATTCGAAAATGGCTGGAACTTCCAATATCTGCAACCCTTAGCAATGTGTATCTTCCCCAAAACAAATTTGGTTTGAATATCATTTTGCCTTCGACGAAATTTGTCCAATGCCAAACTGTTTCTCGTTCAACCCTAAAAGCGTCTATAAACGAAGACATCAACAAATTATGGTCAATAACAAGCACGAACAAGAATATTCAGTATGATATATATATAAAAATACGAACGATGTCCTGAAAGCCTTTAGGAATGAAAATGAACAGAGACTACAAAACCACCTTGTCTCACAAGGTTCTTTCTTCTCAAGTATCATCAAAAACTCCACGTTATCATTCAATTCCTTATGGTCATCCGTTCAATCCAGACTTCCTAAGAATATGTTTAATTTCACTGTCCGTTATATCAACAACTCCCTCCCTACTCGGAAAAACCTGGTCAAATGGGGTCTGTCATCGTCTCCCGATTGTTCCTTTTGCTCCTCTCCTGAGTCACTCCTGCACGTCATCTCTGGTTGTAAAGCATATCTAGATGAAGGGCGATTTACCTGGCGGCATAATTCAGTCCTGGACGTCATTGCATCCAGCCTTATGAGTGCCGAGCGATCCAAACTCTATGTAGATTTGCCTGGTTTTATTACTCCGTCAGTTATCACTGGTGATCAGTTACGTCCAGACCTTCTCTTGGCAACTGAACATAAAGTTTTATATGTTTTGGAACTGACTGTTGGCTTTGAAGCAAATCTTAACTCTAACTCAGATCGAAAACATAAAAAATACCTGCCGCTTATTTCAGATCAAGAAGGTAACTATGATAAGGTAAAATTTGTTAATGTATCCATAAGCTCGCTAGGCGGTTTTGGTCAATCAACGAACACCTTAACTGATATGCTCAAGGAACTGAAGTTCGATGAACAACAAATTAAATACATTAAAAAGAAAATCATTGCTATTTGTATTCGCACATCATATTATGTATTCTGTCAGCGAAACAAAGACTGGACTAGCCCAGAGCTTCTAAAATTTTGAACAATATTAAATTCCCTATTTTTGTAAGTTTATATAATCCAAATATTTTTCAAGTAGTCATCGATAAACTACCTCTATGAGCGAGGTTTATCAATATAAATATAGTTTTATGGTATATTATGAAATAAATAAAGTTTCCATTATTATTATTATTATTATATTTATATTTATTATTATTATTATTATTATTATTAAATTCCCTATTTTTACATTCCCTATTTTTTTTTTAAATTGCTTATTTTTTTCTTAAAAACGCCTTTGGTGAAGTGCATCATAATCTCATTCAATCTGTCCTCGAATATCATCACATTCCCGAACAGATTAATGAAATTATCAAGAGATTGTATACTGACTTCAACACCACAATTATAACCGCCGAATTCTCTACCCCATTCATAACTGTTGGCCGAGGTGTACTTCAAGGAGACTGTCTTAGTCCTTTTCTTTTCAATATGTGTTTCAACACCTTTATTCAGCACATTAAAGCTGATAAATACCGCCAATTTGGTTTCATGACCAAATTTTTTAAATCCAATCCAGTTTGCTGACGATGCAGCCGTTATTTGCAACAATACTAACATAGAGTACGACGTCTACACCTCAACAAAGGAAGTTCTTAAAAGTTTCAAATCTGCACAAGAGGACAAGCTTCAATATCATCTACTTCTCCAAGGCTCCTTTTTCACTAACACCACCAAGTTCTCGTTGTCTACACTAAACAACCTATGGTCCAAATCTCAATCCAGCTTGCCAAAAAGCATTTATAACTTCACCATCCGTTACATCAACAACACTCTTCTCACACGCAAAAACCTCACAAAATGGGGAATAATGTCAAACTCGGATTGTTCCCTCTGCCTGAACCCTGAAACCCTTCTGCATGTAGTCGCGGGATGCCAGTCATACCTTCGACGATTTACTTGGAGACATGACTCCATTCTCAATTTTGTCGCAAAAATATTCCAACCTGAACACAACTCCACGCTATTTGTTGATCTTCCTGGATACAAGAGCCCATCAATAATAACCGGTGACACTTATCGCCCAGATCTGCTTCTTTCGATTTGATCAAATGATTGTCTGTACATTCTCGAACTCTCTGTCGGATACGAATCCAATCTCCAAAACAACGTCGATCGCAAAAGGGAAAGATACAAGGATCTAATTACGCAGCAGAAAGACCATTTCAAAACTGTCAAATTTATTAATTTGTCTATTAGTGCCTTAGGTGTTTTCTCAAAAGAATGTAGCACGTTTATGAAAATGTTGAACGAAGTTGGTCCTGATAAAAAACATCAGAACTTTTGTGTTAAGAAAATAATGTCCATAAATGAATGATAAAATAATAAATGAATGAATAATATTGTTAATAATATTATGTTAAATAATAATATTGTTAATATTATTATGAAAAGTAATAAATGAATAATAACAAAATTATTAAATTTCCATTATTATTATTATTATAATTATTATTATTATTATTGTTATTATTATTATTATTATTATTATTATTATTATTATTATTGTTATTATTATTATTATTATTATTATTATAAGTCTGAACTAATCTCACTCGATGAAGAACTAATGGCAGATATTGATTCCAAACCATTACATCCAAAAAATAAAATCCTCCTCTACAGTCGATATCTTCTGTCCAAATTATCCTGGCATTTTACAGTTTCTAGCGTATCGAAAACGTGGGTCACCGAAAACATTGATTCCAAAGTCAACAGTTATATCCGTAAATGGCTTGATATACCTATATCTGGAACGCTAAGCACTGTTTTCCTAACCCGCAACAAGTTTGGCCTCAGTATTTGTCCCCCATCTGTCAAATTTATTCAATGTCAAACTGTTCTCCGTAAAGCCCTAAAAACATCCCCAAACGAAGCAATTAACGATCTTTGGAAAGCAACTAGCAACAGCAAAAATATTCAGTATGACGTTTATAACTCCACTAAGCAGTTCTTAAGGACTTTCGCTCTGGACAAGAGGATAAACTGCATACTCAATTAACCTGTCAAGGCTCTTTCTTCACTAATATAACAAAGTTCTCACTGTCCCAACTCACTAAAATTTGGTCTGCGTGCCAATCGAACCTTCCGAAAAACATATTCAACTTTACAGTTCGATACATCAATAACTCCCTTCCAACGCGCCAAAACCTTGCAAGATGGGGTTTATCACCGACTTCAGACTGTTCGCGATGTCTAGCTCCTGCACGTAGTAGCTGGTTGCCAATCGTATCTAGAACGATTCACGTGGAGACATGACTCCGTTCTAAACTTTCTCGCAACAAGCCTGCAGACCGTAAGCGGCTCACATCTTTACGTGGATCTCCCAGGGTACAAAAGTCCATCAATCATCACTGGTGACACCTACCGTCCAGATTTGCTTCTTTCAACCTCAACCGGAACACTGGCTTCGAATCAAATCTTCAAAAAAACGTTGAGCGTAAAAAATCAAAATATAAAGAATTAATTAGGGAACAAAATGAACATTTCAACTCAGTAAAATTTGTAAATCTTTCGATTAGTTCTCTTGGTGTTTTCAATAAAGAATGTTCTACTTTCATAGAAATGCTTAATGTTTTTGGTTTTCAAAAGCAACATCAGAATTACTGTATTAGAAGAATGACGACGATTGCAATCAGAACAACGTATTATATATTTTGTTGTCGAAACAAGGAATGGATGAATCCGGAACTGTTAAGTGTTTAAACGTTGTACTGTCATTTTGTTATCTTAATAGTATAATTTTTGCATATATAATCAGTGATTTAAGTAGCCAGTTGTAAATTACCTGATATAAGTGAGATTTGCAATTGTATATATAAGCTAAATATCCATTTAATAAAGTTTTCATTATTATTAGTATTATTAGTATTATTTACACACATACAAGCGTGTAACGGTAACCCTTAATTGAGCAAAATATTTAAAGCTGATTTCCAAGGGTCCGTTGACTAATAAAAAAAAACAAATAAAAAGGATCAAAATGTATACACACAGTCTTAAACATATACTATATACATGATATACACACCCACGCTCCCACCCATTCATATTGTGCAATATTATGAACTACATTACATAATTGTGCGTTTATCTGTCTCGTAGTAGAGCTCTAAATCTGCTTGGTAATGATATATAACACTAGTTTTAATTCAGCTGGTATTCATTCCAATGCTTTTTTTAAGAAAATTTGTTTTAGGCTTTTCAAGAGAATAATCACAATTATTATTGCAAATCATATTTTTAATTATTGTTTACGTTAAACATATTAGTAATATTTTTTAAGAATTTTTCATTTTTGACTTTATGCATAAATATCGCATTATTATCATTCCATCTTTCTATCAGTGGTTTCCAGCCAATTTCCTGTAGAAATGCCTCAGACCTAACTTCATATGATTTTCCAGTAATGACTCTGGCAGCCCTGTTTTGCATTTTCTGGGGTTTTTCAAGCGTGTAAGCATTACCTATGTCCCAAGCTAGGTTACAGTAGTATTATTGCGTTATAACCCGATATTGATGTTGACGGAAGTACAGTACTACAAAGGCTTTCATTCTTCGAATCATTCCTATGGCTTTTTACACCTTAGTAATAACATTGTCGGAATTCCATTTGACCCGAAAGTTTTTGTTTCTTTAACTCTTTTTATATTAAGCTACAATCTCCCGGCTTAATATCTGGACGGCTATCAATTTTACTAAGTCGTTGTCCAGAACCAGCAATCATATTATTCAGTTTTATTCATATTGAGTGTTAATTTATTGGCTAGCAACCACAGATGTATATTTTTCAATCATTGTTCAATTTTACTTGGATGTCCATTATCGTAACGCTACTTGCTATCAGATTAGTATCATCGGCAAACATATAGCTGTAGCTGGTTTTAAACAATTAGGTAAATCGTTTACATACTGCAGACAAGAAACAGAATTGGGCCTAAATGTGAACCTTGTGGCACTCGACATTTTGATATCACTTGATTTGCTTTGCGCATCTGTTTTCTATTTGCGAAGTACGTTTTGAACCAAATTAATGTAGTTCCTCTACAGCGGAAGTAAGATAGTTTTTTAATCAGGATTTTATGATCGACACAATCAAAGGCTTAATCAAAGAAAAGAAAAATAATTCGATTTCAAAGGCCTTTATCCGTATTCATATACCATTGGTTCGTATTGTTCAAAAGAGAAGTTGTGATCGTTATTAACTTCTTTTGAAATCGATTGTTTTTATGGCATGTGAACACGAACGTATGAATATTCGTCCCCCCCCCCCCCTCAATTATCGAGCCGGCAGCGCCACTGGTGGTCGAGCACTTTTTCCTAAAGCCTGCTTGGCTATCTGCCAGCAAGTGGCTAGTTTCTAAGTAATTGATGAATTGCCTGGAGGTGAGCTTTTCAAACATTTTTGCTACAACAGGTATAATAGATATTGATATATAATTACTACATTCTAATTTGCTATCCCCTTTATGTATAGGAGATATGCATTCAATCTTGAATTATTAAATATATTTTTAGATTTATAATAGATTTATTAAATATATTTTTGAGAGAATCGGCAATAACTTCTACACTATCTTTCAGAAGTTTTGGTGATATTCGTTCGTGTCCAGTAGCTCTTGAGTTTTTAAGAGCGGTTGTCTGTAATAATCAGGTAAGACGTGTAAAATGAGAAATTTCAAAATCCTTCAAACTTTGTTAGAAAATAGGCCTATATGAAGTATTAATGTTGTGAAAGTTTTATTTCGATCGGATAAATATTGAAGGAGAGAGACGTCGAAATTGGTTTTCCCAGGCCATTTTCGGTTTTTAGAGGTCATTTTACGGCACAACAAAAATCGCTCTATTTTGCACGTTAATGGGAATATTTCACAAAACGTGATTTCGTTTTATAAATTAGAGATATTTATTGATTAGCAGACGAAATTTAGAGACATTTCTGTGAAAAGTGAATATTTTACAGATTTTCTTAATGTTTTTTTATTTTCGAGCCTCTTTATTATATGCCATATTAGGCAGCGAATATCTCCATTGTTACATCGATTCAGACAAAAAATCATAACCAGATCAAAGAAACGTGTTTTCCCCTGCTATTGATCAAATAAAATTTTGGGGCAACTTGGAATTGAGTTTTTAACGAATTTTTTCGTAACCCCTATTTGACCGGAATAACCGTATGTTAATATAATCAGCGTCGATCGAGTCATGTAGTTCAATAAATAACCAAAGAGCTCGTCAAAAGCGTTTATTTCTTCGAGTAAACAAGCCTAGGCCTATAAAACTATCTTAGCTATAGCTGTAGGATTGGCTGAAAGCATTTAGGTCTAAATCGCACTGTTTACAGTCGCTTATTGTTCAGGTAATGCCCGATAGCCGGTGCCGCTGATTTGGCAGATTTTGGTTTCAATTATATTTTATCAGGGATATTCCGCGATACGTATAGCGAGTATATTTTTTCTCCCCCTCCCATAAACTCGTGTTCTCACATAAATAGTGCACACGCTTTTTGTAAAAAAACATAGGCCATTTGCAAGGTCATGCGATGCAAACGTCGCATTGTTTTGACGTTTTTTTAGTCGTATTTTCGGTTGGGATAGCTTACTAGATTGTCTGAACAAAAATATAGACTAGCCATACCTTTCGCCGAAAATAACTTCGACCCCTTTAAACATAATTATCGTCTTTGTAATAGTCTTGTTCGAATCCCCATCAAAAAACACTATTCAGGGTGTTATTTGCAAGCCTGTATCTCCAAATTTGCATCTTTTATCACGGTATTTCCATTTCTTGTCCGGCTGTGAGCTCGAGGCTCGAAGTAATTTGGTAGTATACGATCGCATTTGACTTTCAAACTCCTATAAAGCGCTACAATGTTAATAATGACTATAACTATCGTTCGCAATTAGTTGATCTTTTATTTCTGAATCGAATGGTGGTATTTCTGTCTTCATAGGCATAGCATGTACTGATCCGAAGATATGAAATTTCTAGCCGCGTCAACCTCTCGGTGACGACCTCGCAAAGAGTTTTAATTTAATTAATATTAAAGCTGGATTCTTTCACCGTGATGTCATGCCAAAAGGCGTCTTTTCCATTTGTTAAAATGTCCTTTAAAAAAGATCCCGGCTCTATATATTGATTTGTAATTTGGTAATATTAATTACAGTTGTATATTTGATTATTTTGTTAGTGCTCAATAAGTTTGAATTTGTTCTGAGAAAACAGTCAAACTTCTGAGACCAAACTTCTACGCTGTTGCTTATTTAGTAGTTTAATTAACTGCCCATCACTTTTAAAACAGCAAGAAGATAAAGACAACGTGTACGGGTGAGTTATCCATGAAATAAATAGTTGGTTTACAAAATGAATTCCGTCTTTGTGGATAAAAATGAGTTATAAATAATCTCTCCTGTATGTGTTAAATGTTACTTGCAATCTTGCATGTATAGGGATTTCCCCCAGTATATCCCTTCTCTTCTGTATGGCTGTTTGTGATTATTCGTCTCTTGTCAGTTGTCACTGAGTGGTCATGTGGTGTCAGCAACTCTAATCCAGCCGATTCAGAATGCGTTCTTCGAATGATTGTAATAACAGAAATCAAGGCACACCTGAGGTCGCACGACGTTTGCTTAGATTCAAGTTTGAGAACAGAGTCTTGTCTTCCACCTGCACGAGCCGATTAGTTCATTATTTTCTATCTGACATATACTTTTGATCCAATTTCAATTAAATTTATCCAACCATTTCTGGATGATGCATTTACAACAGGCAGTACTCAGGGGCAAAGAAAAGTCAAGAAAGGCAGGCCAACTTTCCCAGAGGGTGGCCCGGAATGGTGGAATTGTGCAACGTGTTAAATATTAAGGAATATTCTAAAAATTGAGGTCGAAAAAAGTCTGAAAAGTATTTTGAACCCCCTCCCC